AAGGTGATGGGGGTCAGGGCTGGCATTGCCCATGGGCTCTCACCTTGGTCGTCGAACGCGTGGGTCAGCTCGTGCCCCATCACCACGCCGATGCCACCGAAATTAAGGGCTCTGTGGCACCGTGGGAGAGAGCCAAGTAAGTGCTTGGGGACAGCCCGGGCACCCCTCTGTAGCACCCAGCAAGACTCTGCTCTTGTTGGCACCCAGCTGGGAATGAGTCCTGTTGGGGACAGTGGCCCCACAGGGACTTTGCAGGCTGTGCTGACTATAGGATGTAAAGCCTTGAGGGACCCTCAAGCCCCCCAAGGGCTTTGCTTTGTGGCTGTGGGGGGCTCTGCGGGGTGCTGGCCCTGATCCAGCCCATGCCCCCCCACCCCCAGAAGACGCCCCCTGTCCCCATGCCAGGCTCACTTGGGGTGGTTGCGGGCGTAGAAGGGAGCCTGCAGGATGCCAGCAGGGAAGACGATCCCGTTCTTGGTGGGCAGGTAGTAGGCATTGACGGTCTGCGGGGTCATGCTCCACCTGGGGCAGGGAGGTGGGACAGGGGACAGGCAGGGATGTGTCCCCTCTCCCCCCTACCCCAGCACCCTCCTGTGCTGTCTCCCATCACGGGTCCCTTGTGTTGCTTTTCCCAGGGCTGGCACTGCTTCCCTTGCCCCGTGACCAAAGGACAAGCCAGAGACACCATGGGTGACCTACAACACTGTGCTACCCCACGGGGTGACCTTCCTCCCCCCAGTGAACCAGTGCCACCCAGGCCATGCTGGGGACAGTGCTGTGACACCATGCCGGTGTCACATCCTCTGCCCCTCCCAGGCTCTCCCCCTTACTGGTCACGGTTGGGGGGTTTCCGGAGCTGGTCAGCCATCACTTTGGCGGAGAAGTTGTAGAAGTTGAGCATGTTCTGGAAGAAGGAGTCCTCTGAGACCTCGTACTGGTGAAGAAGAGGAGGGATGAGGAGGCGTCCACTGGGGTGGTTCCCCCCACCCTGTCCAGGATCCGCTCAGTACCAGAGTGGCTCCATGTAACGCCCCATCCCAAATGGGTCCCCCAAATAGGGACATCACCCCCCAGGGCTTGGTGTAAGCAGGGACCAGACCCCCTCCCCACCAGCCGAGTGCCCCCCTTACCCCATCATAAACATCGTCCAGCTCCTTGTTGTCCAGGATGAAGTCGGGGAAGCCGATCATGTCGTAGATGGCGTCCGCCTGCGTGGGGAGAGGCCCCAGCAGTGAGATGGGGGCGGGGGACTTACCAGAATGGGGGGACGTCTCCCACCCGCTGCCCTCCCTGGGGTCACCTTCTCCTTCGCAGCCTGCCTGGTCTTCTCATCCATCCAGTCCAGCTGGTCCAGGGACACCTCAAAGGCCGCCCGGATCTCGCTGATCATCTCCTCAGCCTGGGGAGGGGAGGGAATGAAGCCCCCCTGCCCACTGCAGCCCCTCGGGCATGGACAGGGTGGGCAAGATGCGACCTCCCTGGGGCTGGGGGTCCCATTTCCCGTCTCCCTGCCTTTCCCTCCAGGGAAGGGTGAGTTCCCGCAGATGTTGATGGGGAAGGGACAGGGGCAGAAGTATCCTCACAATGGCCTTGCTGTCCCGGTCAAAAGTGGCTTTGACGAAGAGGGAGCCCAGGGCGAAGCCCAGCGTGTCATCCGTGTTAGAGATGCAGGTTTGCCAGCGGGGTGTGCAGGACTGCGAGAGCAAGATGGGGGTCTGTGAGACCCCCAGCCCCCTCCCTTGCTCCACTCTCTTCCCCCAGCCTGGCTCTGCTCGCTCCCCAGCAAGGAGATGCTCAGCATCTAAACCCCCAAGCCAAAAGATGATCCCTGGGTTCCCTCTGCAGCATCTGAGGCTCAGCATCCCAAGGGCAGAGGTGGTGCTGGCTGCTTCCAGGCTGGGGGTAGAGGAGGCCAGTCCCAGGGCTCCCCGTTACCTTCCTGGTGCCATAGAGAGTCTCCAGCAGCCTCTCCTGGGCCGTCTCGAAGCGCTGGTCCAGGCTGGAGGCTGTCTTCTGCACCAGGTTCCAGATAAGGTAGTTGTTCAGGACGCTGTAGGGGCAGGCAGACGCCGTGGCTCACCACAATCCATGGCGACGCCGCAGCCTCCAAGCCACTGGCGAGCCCGAAATGTGCCCCGGCCATGGGAGCAGCCCCAAATGGGGCATGGCCAGGGGCTCGTGGGTGCCTCACCTCCTGTCGGTGCTGTTGATGAGGTCAGAGACTTGCTGGAGGTAGGTGTCCCCATACACCACCACGGGCTCTGTGTCCACTAGCTCCAGTGGGGCCAGGGCATAGGACAGGTAATCCAGCCAGTCAATGGCAGGGGCCAGGGCCTGGAGGGGACGTGGGATGTGGCATCCGAATGCTTGGCACGGCTCTGCCCCATCCTGCCTGGCATAGGGCGATCCCCTGGAGCAGGGGCTGTGCTCCCCAGGAAGGTCTCAAGGTCCCTCACCATCCCAGATCCCTTCTCTGCCCCCAAGCACTCTTATCATGGCTCCCTGCTGCTCTCAAAACTGCAGGACAAGGAGGGGACACCGCGACCTCTCCCCCATGAAAGGTGGCAGCTCCCCCAAATCCTAACGACCAGGGGGATGAACACCTCACTCCAGCACCCAGTGCATATCCCAGAATGGATGGGGCTGCCTGGGGTGCCCTGGCAGGGGGACTGCAGTGGGCACAGAACCCTCGGTGTCCCACTGGACAACCCTCCGTCCTGTCCCCAGAGGGTTGCCCCAGGCTGTGCCCACCTGCAGCTCAGCGATGCTCATCTTGTGGTAGATCTTCTCGTCATCCCGCCGCTCAGCCTGGGGCACGGTGATGTTGGCCAGCTGGGTTTCAAAGTCCAGCACCTGCTGCATCTGGAGGCGGGTGGGCTCCGGGGCACCCCCCAGCAGTGTGCCCAGCTCTACCATGTAGTCCAGGTACGCTGCCAGGACCTGGCGAGACCCCGAGCCCCAGCTCAGCACTGGTTGCAGCTCATCCCACCTCCCCAGGGGATTCCGACCCACTGCCTGGGCACCGTGGCACCCAATGGGCAGGGTGCAGGTGCGCCCCGGTGCTGCTCGCACCCCATTGCAGTGGGTTTCCCCTGACGGCTGCCAGCAGCGTGCCTGACGCCCAGCCTCACCTTCTCGTTGGCGGTCTTGTTCAGGTAGTAATCCCGGGATGGCAGGAAAAGCCCCGACTGGTCCACCTGAGGGGAGAGAGGAGCAGCATGGGCAGTCCGGTGCCCTCCCTGGTGCCTGCCGCCCCCCAGTGCCAAGGTGCCAACCTGGATGACGTTGCTGTTGGAGCTCTTGGAGTCTGCACCCACGTACACCGTGAAAAAGGGGGTTGCCCGGTACGTGCCTGACACCATCTTGAGTACCTCCATGAAGCTGCTCTGGTTCCAGGAGCCGGTGACGTTCCACCCCCCGATCTGACAGCAGACGGACCCAGCGCCTCAAGGAGGGATGGGGTCCGTCCCCAGGGGCTGCCCCCTCCCCCGTTATGTGAAGAGCCGAGCGGGAGACATGCTGGGCTGAGCCCTGACCGCTCGGCTCACGTGTGGATGGCAGCCCACCTTGTCGATGAGCTCCATGAGGGGCTGGGAGCCCAGCTCCTCTATCCTCTGCTCTTTGAGGCAGGACAGGTAGTACCGCTGCGTCTTCCGCTCTGCCTCGCTGCTGGAGTTGAAGGTGGCGTTCTCTGCAGGAGGCTGCGGGTCAGCCCCGGGGACACCGGGGTTCTGCCCGCCTGCACGCAGTGGTCACCCACTCCAGTGGCCACGACCCACCCGGTGCCCACCTAGAAGATGCTTCATGATGGCCTGGTTCTGGTCCCAGATGCTGTTGAAGGTGCTCCACTTGGAGCGCCCATTGGGCAGCGGGTTCCTCTTGATCCAACCGCCGCACGAGTACTGGTAGAAGTCCTGGCACGGGTCCGTCTCCACATCCAGGGCCTCCAGGATCTTGCTGGCCACGCGGACGCAGGCATCCGTCAGGCACGTGCTGTGAGAGGGATCTGGCAGGGAAGGCATGCCTGGGGCTGGGCGCGTGTGCCGGGGGAAACTGAGGCACGGAGCGGGGCCGAGCCCTATCTGCACCCCAGGGCAGGCAGAGCACCGCAGCAGGAGACCCAGTCTGACCCGTCACTCCCCGTTCTGCCGTGTCCCCCCTGGGTGTGGGGACACCACCACCCCCACCTCCCCAGCAGGGCCACAGGGCCCTTCCCTACCTCGGCGGTACTGGATGGCCAGGGCCACAACGGCGATGCCGAGCAGCAGGGCCAGGGAGAGGGCGACG